TTCGTACGGGACGCGTATCAGATACGTTGGAAAATTTTTTTGGGCGTATCAGTGCTTCATACGGGTCCAACACCAATAAAGTCAACTTCAGGAAACTCCTACTATATTTCTTTTATTGATGCTCACACTAGATATACCTAGTTGTATCCCATGAAACAAAAATCTGATGCACTTACTTTATTCTAACAGTTCCATGTGATGGTTAATACTCAATTCCATGTTCCAATCAAAGCTATTCAAACTAATTGGGGAGGGGAGTTTAGGTCCTTTACGCAATATTTGAATCTTCATGGAATCATACATAGATTAGCTTGTCCTCATACTCATCATCAAAATGGAGTAGTTGAGAGAAAACATAGGCATGTTGTTGAAACTGTCTTACCTTATTCTCATATGCATCCTTGCCTATGAAGTTTTGGGACTTTGCTTTCATCTTAGCCACTTATCTCATAAATCGATTACCAACAACCCCAAAGGTATTTGATTATACAAGCAATTCCCCGATTATACCTTCTTAAAGGTATTTGATTGTGCTTGCTTTCCTTTTCTTCGATCTTATAACAGGCATAAGCTTGAGTATAGGTCTTAAGAGTGTGTTTTCCTTGGCTATTCTTCATGTCACAGGCACTGATTCTTCCTTCATTCAGCAGATCATTTCTTTGCTCTATTCACAATTTGCGTTAAAAGATTTGGGAGAATTAGACTACTTCCTTGGTGTTGAAGTTAAACATCATGTTTCAGGTGGTTTGAGTTTATGTCAATCTTAATATATTCGAGATTTGTTAACTAGGGAAGCAATGCATGAGGCCAAGAGTATCTCGTCCCCTATGTCTTCTGGATGCAAACTCACAAAGTGTGGCTCCACTTATTTTAATAACCCTCATTACTATCGATCTATAGTTGGTGGTTTGCAGTATGCAACCGTAACCAGACCGGAAATTAGTTATGCAGTCAACAAGGTTTGTCAATTTATGTGTCTACCTCGTAAAGATCACTAGTCAGTGGTTAAACGCATCCTTAGATACCTAAAGGGTTTCCTTTGGTCTTTACCTTAAAGCTTCTAGTCCTTTCAAACCTTTATCTCTCACTGCTTTTTGTGACGCTGATATGGCAAGCGATCCAGATGATAGAAGTTCTACATAGGTGCTTGTGTTTATCTTGGGCCAAATTTCGTATCTTGGTGGTCAAAAAAGCAGACCAGAAGCTGTACATAGGAGTCTAGCCTTTACTTGCTTTGAAATTCTCTGGATTCAGTCTTTACTTCGGGAACTTCAGGTTCCTCTAGCTATACCTCCGGTGCTGTGTGATAATATGAGCACAATGGCTCTCTCTCATAATCCTGTCCTTCATGCTCGAACCAAACACATGGATACGCTTACAAAGGCATTATCTCCTATTTGTTTTGCTGAACTAAGGAGCAAACTTAGAGTCTTAGATTCCCAACGCTGTTGAGTTTGCGGGAGGGTATTAGATATATTGTAAGCTTTAACTTTGTTAGCATTAGTTTAGTTTACTAATGTACTTTGTTATTCTACTTCTAGATATATAGGATTTATTCTCCTTTTTTGTTTGTAATTACTTCAATTTGTTAGATCTATTTGTTTCTAATCTGTTAGACTCTCATGCTTTATAAATAGAGTTTCTTTGTATCTCGCTCAATTAAGAATCATAATATCAAAGAATGGCTTTCTCATTCTCTCTCTCTCTCTCTCTCCTTATTAGAGATATATAAAATCATTAATGTAGTCTCACCCTCCAGCTTAAGCTTTTAAGTTGAATTGGTTCTTAACATGATATCAGAGCCTCGATGTCACGGGTTCGATCCTCACCGCTCTTCACTTTCTCTTGTGGAATTTCTTAGCACAGGTAGGCTAAACCTGATGTATCATCCACCTTTCAAGCCCAATGAGCTCTTGTATTAGAGATATATAAAACCATTAATGTAGTCTCACCTACTAGCTTAAGCTTTTGGATTGAATTGGTTCTTAACAATCCTCTATCTCTCTCCTCAAACTCTGATAATACGCACACTTCCATATCTAATTTTTCTTTGATAAAGTGGTGATCAACCTCCACATGTTTTGTTCTGTCATGGTGAACTAGATTTTGAGCAATATTGACAGCAGCTTTATTATCACAATACACTCTGACAGGTAGGGAAAAAGAGATCTTCAATTCCTCAAGGAGTCTTCTTAACCAAATTCCTTCACAAATAGCATTGGCTAGAGCCCGAAATTATGCTTTTGCACTGCTTCGGGCAACTACTGTTGTTTCTTACTTCTCCAGGTCACAAGGTTTTCACTGACATAGGTACAATATCCTAAAGTGGATTTTTGGTCCAATGCAGAGCCAACTCAATCTGCATCTGTATATATTTTAATCATCCTCTTGTGTCCCCTTTTAAAGAAGAAGCCACGTCCAGGGGTGTTTTTCTTTCGGAGAATGCATGAATTGACTAACCATGCTGATTGTAAATTCAATATCAGGTCGAGTGTGAGATAAGTAGATCAACTTCCCCACCAACCTTTGGTACTGCTCTCTGTCAACTTCTTTCCCATCTTCAATTCCCAATTGTAAAGAACCAATTCAACCCAAAAGTTTAAACTGTTAGGTGGGGTTGCATCAGTGGTTTTATACTTCTCTAACACGCCCTCTCGCACGAGAGCTCACTGGGCTTGAAGGGTGGATAATGTACAAACCCACCTACTTGTGCTAAGAAACTTCACAATATTTTATTATTAGAATGGAGGGCGGTGAGAATCGAACCCGTAACACCGTGACTTTGATACCATGTTGAAATATGAAAAAAATGGTTTTTTCTGTATTGATACACACTGATTTACACTTATAGGGGTATGTATACAAGAGTAAATGAGAAAAAATAGATAAGAATGACTCAGTAATGAGTCATCATCCCCATCCTATCTAATCACTAAGTAATAGAAAGTAAAAGCGGAAAGATTCTAATCCTAATTTCCTACAATAATAAATCATTCATCTCTGACTAAAAAGTTCTCACAGAAATGACTTTATTTATATCTATAACATGCCTTCTTACACAAGAGTTTTTTTGGGTTTAAAGCTTTAACGATACACATGCCTACTCTCTACCATATGCTAATTCGATCTTTTCTTATTCAAATGAGGATGGCAAAGATCAAACGCATCACTTGATTATAGAGGCTCTAATATCATGTTTAGGATCAACTCTCCTGCAAGTTTAAACTATTAGCTAAAGGCTTATGAATAGCGTTGTTATATTTCTATTAAAGTATTTCTTTGTGAGTACTATTACCTGGTGCTATGGAAGTAGTATAAACACAAAATTAAGAAAACCAGAAATCCTTAACTCCTCAATAATAAACGATGAAATGAAATGTAGTTTGTTGAAGGATCCATTTTTATGGGTTTCTTTTGGGGTAGGATTGTTTTTATGGCTTCTAATAGGAATTGAAATTCACTGAATTTTATTTATCTAAGGGGGATCAATTCCTTACAAAAGAGGATAATCATATGGAGACTACAAACCAGCAAATAAGTATAAACATCGCCTTTATCCCAAACTAGTTGGGTTGGCAGTTGATGAACCCAATTCGATAGATAGAAACAAAGAAAATAGTTTTTCCCCCGTTCCATCCTAAGATAAACATACTACATTTTCCCTGTAAATTTTGGCTGACCTCTTCCTTTTTATGCTATTGGTAACAAACTTCTGTTTTTTACTAGAGCATCTGGGGCCTTGGAATAAGTTGGAAAAACTATCTCAATTTATGATTTCTCATCTTTTTGTGCATTGATATTGCTCCGAATTTTGGTTGAATATTTTTGTTTCTTATCCATGCTTATGAGAGAGTTTTTGTGATATTTTTGTATTATTCTTGATTGCTGACCCTGCTGAATCAATCTTATGTTTCCTGTCCATTCTGTGATGTTATTCTCTCTCTCCTCCAATCAATTTGTTAGAGATATATAAAACCATTAATGGAACCTCACCCTACAAGTTAAGCTTTTGGGTTGAATTGGTTTTTTGCATGGTATCAGAGCCTCGGTGTCACAGGTTTGATCCTCATTGTCCCCCACTGGAATTGCTTAGTATAGATAGATGGGCCTATGCATTGTCTATCCTTCAAGCCCAATGAGCTCTCGTGTAAGGGGGCATATTAGAGATATATAAAATCATTAATGTAACCTCACCCAACTTAAGCTTTTTGGTTGAATTGGTTCTTTACAGAATTCCTGCACTTGCTCACTCGCTTCACTGATTATAATTCCTTCATTTCCCGTAGTACTATCCCTTTTCCTCCTCTCATGCATTCACAGCCCATCCTTCTTCTGTACCTCCCTTCTCCTTCTCCTATACATGGGTCAATGACCCAGTAGCTTGTCTCTCTTGATCAACTAATTGTTGTTTTAGAGGAATTGCCATTTGTTTATGCACAGTTGGGACAGATTTGCTTCATTCTTGATTCTTTCGTATTTTTTCTGTTTTGAAGGACATCTTATCCTCCCCCTAATTGCTTTTTGCCTCTTCTCTCAAACAATATTTTTTCCCCCCTTATCTTAAGAAGATGCCCTTCCCACTCCACTTTTCCAATGCCTATCTCTCAATTGTAATATTGGTTAGGTGTAGAGCAAAACTAAGCATAGACATTTAGCAACAAAACAAGAAACTTTGTATGACATAATTAAGTTGCGACTGTAAAAGATGGTTATTATTATGCCTAACAGTTTAAGTAGTTATATTTTAACTATTGATTACCTTAAAAAGTTTAAAACACATTCATGTATAAATTATTCCGGACTAATTTTAGGCTTTAGTTATGCGTAAAAAAATTGTTGACTGTCTGATTTTTGCACTGTTTACTGGTTGTTTTATTTGGGGGTTTTACCTGTTATGTTTTTTTAACCATTTTAAGCTATAGTTTGATTGTTTTCTATACATATCACGAGGCATCCTTTGTTGGAGTGGCTAATTTATATTCTCTTTTTCTTGAATGCAGGCAATTAATAGTTTGAAGAATGTTGATTCCACTGCTTTACTTCAGTTTCTTCACCCAATTCTTAATATGCTGCTTCATCTTATTGGCAATGGTGGAGAAACACTCCAGGTTTGCTCATAAATTGATCCTTTTTTTGGTAAAGTGCCTTGCTGTTGCATTTATTGTTATATTTTCTCTTTAAATTACATTTTGTTGGTTTAATCCTCTCTCTCTCTCCATTCTTTGCATTTATGGCTTTGCTTCTTTCACTTTATATTCATCTTTCCGCTATTGTTTTCAGGTTGCAGCTTTCCGGGCTATGGTTAATATTGTAACCAGGTATGCCTTATACGGATATCTGGTCCTTTAAAGTTAGTTAAAATTGTATTTGATATGTGGAAACAAATTAATATTTTCATTTATTGTTATATGCGTAAAAAACTTAATGTGTATAAGGATTGCCTTCACCTCTACTCTCGCAAGGTGGTTTTAGGAGTTCTTGTTCTTTGATTCTGTACACCTATCCTATAGTAATCTTATCTTAATGACTACATGTAGAGATATGGTTTACGTCTGTTATGGGCATGGTCTGTGTGTCTGAGATGCTGCGCTGGCGTACACCTCTGTTTATACCCTGTTAAAACTTTTCTTTTCTTTTTTATTAAGTTGTAAATTAGTAAAACCTCTTTGAAAGACACTCAAAAAGAGAAGACTTGTGGCAAACAGGAATTATGCGTGGTCTGTTTTAGTCGTTGTAGTTACATGGGGTATTTGTGTCTAGCTATGTAGCACTGACACGACACGACACTCCAATACGTCAATCCTAAAAAAATATGAATTTCGATACTTTGGGACACGATTGAATATAGTATATATTTCATTAATATTCAATAATTTAATAAAAAAACTAAACTAAATTAATAATACCCATCAACACGTTATAAAGGTGGAAGCTTTAATAAAAAAAAGGAACTGGGATGAGAGAGAGAGATCATATCAGAGAAAGAGATCAGAGAGAAGGAGACACAACAAGAGCGTAACAGGAATGACAACGATGGTGCTGAGATGATCGATCTATTATCTACCTTAAGGGGAAAAAGGCAAAATAAAATAAAATTGATATGATCAGGTGGAAATTTAATTAATATATTTTAATTTTAAAAAAGTAATTTTTTTTTAAAATATAATATTTTTACGAAAAAGCCATTTGACCGTGTCGGACACGGTCAAATTCGTGTGTCGAAATGGTCAAGGTGTCGGAAATGTTGACTGTGTGTCTTGACATGTCAGAACGTGTTGAAGCGTGTCGGACACGACACTCCCTGTTTTTTGGAGTGTCCGTGCTTCCTAGGTGTCTAGCATCCAATTAGTGAATAGGCACTGATTTGTCACACTCTGTTGTAACCAGGTGCACAAACATAAAATAGGAAGGGGGAAAGACATGGAATAAATTTGGTTCAATGTAGGGTGAACTATGCTTTTCAGGTCAGGAACATGTCAGGTCAAAGTCCCTAATTAAATACAGGCCACTTTATGACACTCTTCTTGTGAGTTTGTGGACAGAAGTAGCCTTGAACCGAGTGTCTTGTGTGTTTTGGCAAAACCAGCTATATACAAGAATGCTATCAGGTCAATTGACTGTATCATTTAATTTTTTGGCCCCTCACCCGTTTGCTTGTAGTGGAACCTTGGGGGGAGTGATGGGTGTCCCTTAAAATTTCGAATGCATAGACATTAGACCTCTGATTTGATGGTTGTATATGTCTTTAAATGTTGAAATTTGCTGTTAGGATTTCTACCTGCAATTTGAATTATTGTTATAATATGTGGAAGTTTAATTTGTAGGGTGCAGCAGGAGTCAGTTGATGATGCTGAAAGAAATCACTTTCTAGTCAACTATGTTGATTGTGCTTTTGATGACTTTGGTGGTCGTCAACCACCAGTGTATCCTGGATTATCCACTGTTTGGGGAAGCCTGGCACGAAGTAAGGTATTGCAATATTCAGTATCATTTGTCTCCTCTGCCCCTTGTTCATTGTAATCATCGCGACCATCATCCATCTGTCGTATCTTTTATTATGTATTATAAATAGCTACTTGCACTTTTGTATGTATATGCTGATTTAGTGTGCTAGGGAGTAATTAGGAAGTTCACATTGTTCTCAAGTTTCCAGATCAGGTTGTTAAGCATTAAGCTCTTTATATTATGTTGAGATATATAAAATCATTAATGTAGCCTCACCGAACAGCTTAAGCTTTTGGGTTGAATTGGTTCTTTACATGGTATCAGAGCCTCGGTGTACCGGGTTCGATCCTCAACGCCCCCACTTTCTTTCTAGTGGAATTTCTTTCTTCGCACAGGTAGGTGGGCCTGTGCATTGTCCACCCTTCAAGCCCAGTGGGCTCTCGTGTGAGGGGGCGTGTTGAGATATATAAAATCATTAATGTAACCTCACCCAACAGCTTAAGCTTTGGGTTGAATTGGTTCTTTACATATTATTTGGTTAGATAGGTAACTGTCCGGTTTCTGTTGTCTGTCTGTGCTCCTACTTATTTACAGGTGACAAAAAATGATGTGTAAATATCTTTCTTATTTCATTTTGTTCTTTTGTCAGATTTCATTGGTATTTGTTCTTTACATTGAACCAAAGACCTTTTTTCTCCAACCAATTACTTACAATTTTTGTGGAATCAGTTTTTCAACAGCTAACACAGAGAAATCAGAAATTTCTTCTTAGTAAGTTGAATTTCTGTCCGTAACTAATTTTTAAAGAATCACTTTCACTACGAAGGAAGTGGCAGAAATAAAAATGGATCTTAATTTCTGAGATAGCCATCCATGATTTTCTTCCATAGTTTTCTTCTTCAGCAATTTGACTGACTTTGCATACATTTACTCCTCAATTACGAACTATTTGGGATGTGGTACCTAATTTTAACTTTCTTATTTGTATTCATTTTTTGGATTTTGGATAAATTTTATGCTGTTGTGTAATAATTGCAAACAAAATCAGTTTATTAGCATGATTTTTCAAATGTCTGCTTTGTTTCACCCTTCAGGTAAGTAAATAGAATTAGTGCTTTATGCAGGCTAAAGGGTACCGTGTTGGACCTGTGTATGATGATGTTTTGGCAATGGCATGGTTTTTTCTGGAGCTAATTGTTAAATCAATGGCATTGGAGAAGACTCGCCTTTTCTATCATAGTCTTCCAATAGGTACTTTTAAAAGCTTTTGATCTGATAATGTATGGCCTCATAAATTTCCAATCCTTTTTAATTCCCCAAATTATTCATTTTAGTTGTTATCCTTTTATGAAGAATATTGATATGAATAGAGCTGGGGAAACGAGCTTGAGCTTGCAAACCAGCCCATTCAACTTGGCTTTAACAATGGTTTGACTTTCTTATAGGCCAGTCTGTTTGAAATTTAAAAGCAGGTAAATCAGGCCCCGTCTGTTTAGCACATGGATTAAATGGGTTAGGGAAGTATTGGCCTGCAGGCTAGGCTGCTAGGCTATCTAATAATTTTTAATAAACTATAAACTTTTGGCCTGTTTAACCCATTGATTTAATTCTTTGAGAATATCCATATTTGTGTTTAAAATTCATCTGTTATTGACAATAAAGTTTTAATTTTACACTTTGAATTGGCTTATATTCTGGCTTGAATTTTGATCTCAATCTTTCATTTCTTTTTGTTCAAAAGGTGAAGATATCCCACCAATGCAGTTGAAGGATGGTGTATTCAGATGTATAATGCAGTTGTATGATTGCCTTCTTACTGAGGTGCACGAGCGCTGCAAGAAGGGTTTAAGCTTGGCAAAGCGTTTGAACAGTAGTTTGGCCTTCTTTTGCTATGATCTTCTATCCATTATTGAGCCACGACAAGTTTTTGAGTTGGTACGTTGTTTCTCTGTTTCTATATATTTGGATGCTATGTTTCTTGACTTTAAGTAGGGCTTCTGCATATTAATTATAAATATTGAAAGTATTGAAAGATGTAAAACAAAGAGTTTTTTGAATTGATACATTTGATTTACACTGATAGGAGTGTTTGTACAAGAGTAAATGAGAGAGGAAAAAATTGGATAAGAATGACTCAGCATTGAGTCATCAGCATTATCCTGTAAAAGCAAATTCAAAATTCAAATTCCTGTTAAAGAAAAAAATAAATCACTAATAAAAGTGGAAAGATTCTAATCTTGATTTTCTACACTCCCCCTTAAGTTAGGAGGTAAATGTTGATCATTCCCAACTTGCCAATCGGGTTTTCAAAGGCTGGCCAGTGTAGGCCCTTAGTGTGGATATCTGCAGTCTACTCTTTTGAGCATTACTGACAGCTGTCTTACTATCACAATACACTCTGATAGGTAGGGAAAAAGATATCTTCAATTCCTCAAGGGGTCTTCTTAACCAAATTCCTTCACAAATACCTTGGGCTAGAGCCCAAAATTCTGCTTCTGCACTGCTCTGCGCAACAATTGTTTGTTTCTTACTTCTCCAGGTCACAAGATTTCCCTAGAAATAGGTACAATATCTTGAAGTGGATCTTCGGTTTAAAGAAAGATCTAGTACCTTTTCAAAGAGCAATAGGCACATCTAGGTCGGCTGTATCAGTTTGCTGGAACTAAGGCTCGAGTCAGAATCCTGGCAGTCTAGAGGTGATTTTCGCTTACTGTAATACTTTTCCCATTTACCAGGAGGATCTCCATTCTCTGGCACAATAGTTCCCTTGTCTCCAACGGCAAAGGCAAAACAACAGAATCATTTGGTTTGAAAGACTTATATTCATCTACCCTGTAAAGAACCTTGAGGTCACCACCCCAAAAGCTAGCTCAAAGGGTGGGAGTGTCTAAGGCTTTATAAACTCCACATTAGTTGCACATACAACCAATGTGAGACTATATATCTCAACACACCCCCTCACACAAGAGCCCATTGGGCTTGAAGAGTGGACAATGCAACAGGCCCAGCCTACCTGTGCTAAGAAACGCCACAAGAGAAAGTGGGGGGCGGCGAGGCTCTGATACCAACTTGAAAAAGGGTATTCTGATATATTTTAGAATTGTAAATAATCTGTACAAAGGGTTCTCTATTTATAGAGAATATTTGACCTACTTTTAACCTAATGGGCTTGGCCCAATACAACAAAGGGCTTGGCCCAATACAACAATAAATGACTAAATAAAAACTAAATAATAACTAAATCAATATTATTTACAACACTCCCCCTCAAGCTGAGGAATAGATATTTATCATTCCCAGCTTGCTAGTAAGTTCTTGAAATCTGTCTGAAGGAAGCCCCTTTGTTAATAGATCAGCTAATTGACGCCCAGTGGGAATGTATGTAGTGGTAATCAACCCGCTATCAAGTTTCTCTTTGATGAAATGGCGGTCGACCTCAATATGTTTAGTCCGATCATGTTGAACTGGATTATGAGCTATACAAATAGCGGACTTATTATCACATAGCAGCTTCATAGGTCCCTCACATTTTATTTTGAGATCATCAAGTACAATTTTCAGCCACAGTAGCTCACAAATGCCTTGAGCCATAGCTCGAAATTCAGCTTCTGCACTTGATCTGGCAACCACATCTTGTTTCTTACTTCTCCATGTCACCAAGTTACCGCAAAGAAACATGCAATAACCAGTGGTAGAACGACGGTCAGTCACGGATCCAGCATAATCAGCATCTGTGTAGACTTCTAAAGATAGATTGCCATCACGTCGGAATAACAATCCTTTACCAGGAGTACCTTTAAGATACTGAAGAATTCTCTCTACTGCCTGCATGTGTTTTTCCTTTGGATCGTGCATAAACTGACTGACAACACTAACAGCATAAGCTAGGTCTGGTCTAGTATGGGCCAGAAATATCAATTTCCCAACTAGCCGTTGATATTGTCCTTTATCAACTGGAGGACTCTCTTCTTCATAGCCCATCTTGTGATTCTGCTCAATAGGAGTATTAGAGGGTTTACACCCGAGCTTTCCTGCTTCTTTGAGAAGATCAAGAACATATTTCCTTTGGCTGATAAAAATTCCTTTGCTTGAATGAGCTACTTCTATCCCTAGGAAATATCTCAGTTTCCCAAGGTCTTTGACTTCGAACTCAGAGGCAAGCCATGTCTGCAGAATCTGTCTCTCCACAAAATCATCACCTGTGATAATAATATCATCAACATATACAAGGAGCACAATAACCTTCCCGTTTCGGGAGTGCTTGAAGAAAAGAGTGTGATCTCCTTGACTCTGTCTATATCCTAAGGTCATCATAACCTTAGTAAACCTTCCAAACCAAGCACGAGGTGACTGCTTCAATCCATACAAGGCCTTTTTTAATCGACAAACTTTATTTTCCCCCTTCACAGAATCAAAACCAGGCGGGATTTCCATGTAGACTTCTTCTTCTAACTCACCATTGAGGAAAGCATTTTTCACATCAAATTGATTTATATCCCAATTGTAATGGGCAACAAGGGACAACAAGATTCTCACTGTATTCATCTTTGCAACTGGAGCAAAGGTTTCTTCATAATCAATGCCATAGGTTTGAGTGTAACCTTTGGCGACTAATCGAGCCTTGTATCTCTCAAGAGTGCCATCAGAATTATATTTTAGGGCATAAACCCATCTGCACCCTACTGCTTTCTTTCCGTTGGGTCTATCAATAACCTTCCATGTTTTATTTTTCTCCAACGCATTCATCTCCTCTTGCATGGCTTGAGCCCAATTCCCATATTTCAAAGCTTCATGTACTGATTTTGGGATTGAAGTAGAATCTAGTGCTGAAACAAAGCTTTTGTGCTGCACAGAAAGATTAGCAGAGGAAACAAAATGGGAGATAAGGTATTGAGTACAAGAGGGACAGGAAGAACAAGATTTCTTGGAACAAGATCTTTTTCCTTTTCTTAAAGCAATGGGTAAATCATCAGAAACAGTAGTAATGGGTAAGTCATCAGAAGTATCATGATCAGAAATATGAGATTCAGGACTTACCAGTGGTTCAGACGATTGAGGTTGCTGTTGAGGCAATGTGGGCTGTTTCCTTCTTTGATATACCAATTCAGGTGTTACAATCTTCCGTATCTCTTGTGTTCTTGATGTATCAGTCATAGGAGGATCAGTCACAGGAGGATCAGACATAGACACATTAGGAACAAGAACAAGAGGAAGAGACACTGACACATGTGAAGGAGTAGACACTGACACATGTGAAGGAGTAGACACTGAAGTTTCAAAGAAGGAAGGTGATGAGTCTTCTGGTGAATCATTCTCCCCCTGAAGATGAGGACCTTGGAAAAAGGACTCAGATTCCTGAAATGTAACATCCATAGAAACAAAAAATTTCCGACTTCCAGGGTGATAGCACTTGTAGCCCTTCTTATCAGGAGCATATCCAAGGAAGAAACATTTAAGAGCCCTAGGATCCAACTTACTGCGATGCTGTTTATGAATATGAACAAAGACAACACACCCAAACACTCGAGGAGGAAGACTTTGCAAAGTTGGAACAAAAGGAAAAAAAGAAGTCATGGAGTGAATAGGACTTACATGATCGAGAACCCGAGTGGGTAGACGATTGATCAAGAATGCTGCAGTAAGAATGGCATCTCCCCAATAGCATTTGGGTACATGTGTTGGAAACAATAAGGCACGAGGAACTTCAAGAAGATGACGATTTTTCCTTTCCGCAACCCCATTTTGTTGAGGGGTGTCTACACAAGTAAGTTCATGAATCATACCTTGATTTTGTATAAATTGGGAAAAAGAGTGATTGACATATTCAGTACCATTATCTGTCCTTAGTCTTTTGATTTTTTTACAAAATTGAGTCTCAATCATTTTATAAAATTGAAAGAACAGTTTTGGTACCTCAGACTTTTCATGCATTAAGTAAACCCAAGTTACACGAGTGCAATCATCAATAAAAGAAACAAACCATTTATTTCCAGAAGAATGAGGGACCTTAGAAGGACCCCAAACATCAGAATGAATAAGATCAAAAGGTTCAACACTTTTAGTAATACTAGAAGGGAAAGACACACGATGATGCTTAGCAAACTCCCAAACATCACAATGAAAAGACTCAAAAACAAAGACGGAAATAAAGACTTCAGTAAACTAAATGGAGGATGTCCCAAGCGCTTATGATGAAGCCAAATCAGAGAATCAACAGTTGACTGGCCATGTGACAGTAAGATGTGATCCTTAACATGAGTTGCAGAAGATTGTGACACCAGATAATACAGCCCACCTTGCTCTTTAGCACCCCTAATCGTCTTCCCTGTGGCGAGATCCTGAAAAACACAGTGAGTAGGAAAGAAGGTTACAGTGCAATTTAAATCTTTTGTGATTTTATGAATAGAAAGTAGATTAGTAGAAAGTTTAGGGACATGAAGAGCATCTTTAAGATGTAAGGAAGGCTGTAATTTTATGTTACCAGAACCCGCAACTGATGTATGGGAGCCATCAGCTACGGCTATCGTATGAGTGCCAATGGTAGGGTTATAAGAAACAAAGGGGTCAGCACAACAAGCCATATGATCAGTAGCACCAAAATCAACAACCCAAGAATGTTTGAAATCAATACATGAAGTAAGAAAAGAAGAAATTTTGGAGCTCATACCAGTCATAGCCAAATCACTAGTACCAGATGGCTTACTCAGAGAATCAAGTATGGTCCGAAGTCGTTCCAACTCATCTGGACGAAATGCAGGTTGGGTCTCATTAGGTGTAGGAGCTATATCAGAAGAAGTAAAATGCGCTTGACCACACATCCTTGCCATCTTTTCTAAGACAGTTTGTTTTCCATGGAGGCGATAACATAGATCCTTGATATGACCTGTTCTTTTACAATAAGAACACCAGCGATCATCTTTCTTAGGTCTAGAAGA